AATCCTGCTGTTCCTGACGGGCCAGGAGGAGATTGACACCAGCGCCCAGGTGGGCTCCCGCGGGTGCCCGGGTGGCAGGGCCCATGTGTGTGGGTGGTGGGGGTGGGGGCAGCTGCTGGGGCGGCTGAGCGCGGGCTGGTGAAACATAGTGCGTGTGGGAAGCGAGAGTTGGTGGCTGACGGCTGGGGCAGGCACCGACGCCTCGCCTCACCTCACTCGCCCTCACCCTAACCTCCCTCACCTCCCTCCCTCCCTCCCGCCCTCCTGCCCGACCGCCCTCCCCGCAGATCCTTTTTGAGCGCATGAAGTCGCTGGGACCCGCGGTGCCCGAGCTCATCATCCTGCCCGTCTACTCGGCGCTGCCCTCGGAGATGCAGGTGCGCGGCAGCTTCTGCAGCTGCGCTGGTGTTGCACCCATCGCCACCAGCTCCGAGCCGCACACGCGCGCAGTGCTGCTGGGCAGCCTGTGCTCCTGGCCCGAGTGAATTGCCAGGCTAGGGTCACATGCCGCTGCTCCCGCACCTCCCACACATCCGACCTTCCCTCCCCGAGTCCTCCTTCCTCCTGCACCCCGGCCCGCAGACCCGCATCTTCGAGCCCGCCCCGCCCGGCACCCGCAAGGTGATCACCGCCGCACGCATCGCCACGCACGCCACGCCGCTCCATGCCGCGCCTCCTCGCCTCCCCTGCCCTTCGCCCGCGCCGAGCCTGCCACAGCCACGCCACACACGGCCATGTGGCCACAGACCCACGCCGCGCCATGCTCGACGCTCGCGCCGCAACATTCATCAACCTGAGCCCACGCTGTGCCGCGCGCCGCAAAATCCATCACCCCGAACCCACGCTGTGCCACGCTGTGCCACCTGAACCCACGCTGCGCCACGCTGTGGTCACGCTGCGCTGCAGGTGGTCATCGCCACCAACATCGCCGAGGCCTCCCTCACCATCGACGGCATCTACTACGTGGTGGACCCCGGCTTCGCCAAGCAGAAGGTGTTCAACCCAAAGGTGGGGCACGGGGTGGGGCAGGACGTGGTGGAGGGTGGGGTGGAGGTCGGGTGGAGAGGGGTGGAGATGGGGTGGAGGTGGGGTGGAGGTGGGGTGGGGTGGCAGGTGGCTGCCTCCGCTGCTGCGGTTCCGGCGCCTTGTTTACCAGCCTTCCCACTGCTTGTGCCCTGCCTGTCTGCCTGCCGCTCCTCGGCACCTGCCCCACCATTTCCCTGCCTT